AACAATAAAAGAGATTATTCATAAAATAAATTAGTACGGCAATAAAATGAATAGACATGTATGCTACTAATGCCCATAGATGTATATACTCCTATGTGATTTCATGAAACTTTCATAAGCATACACCTAGAAAAAGTGTTTTCTTATAATGCCTTGTGGGCTGTCATTGTATTATTAGTTAGCTCGCTTTTTCTAATACAGGAATCAGCAAGTAGAAAGCTGGAAATAGGATTAGTTTTACATCTTGACGTCAAAACTCATTGAGAAGTTTCTGTGTGTGAAAAGATATATTAGAAAAAATCTGAAAATTAAAAGCCTTAGAAAATAATAATCATTATACATCAATTATGTATATTTAATTGATTTCTTCTACAATGTGCCACTTCGATTTATATCTATCAAAATAGATTACGAATCACTTTTTTTTGCGACTGTCAACTGATCTGACTCGCCAACAGCACAATTCAGGCAAACTTTGATACGTACATTAGAATTTGTTCTTCCAGACATCAATTTACTGATAGGAATATATCTTATTGGTATTCTATAAAAATGTCAATTCAAAAATATCTATCTTACCGTGCCAGGAAATTAGTACAAACCAAGAACAAAATGATTGAAAATCTTCGCGTTGGAAAGTAGAACTGTTTTTATCTATAATAAAAAATAAATTGATTTATAGAAACTTATTTTGAATAATCAAAATACTTCAAGTCGCGGTCTAGTCATACGATGGTGTATAGGCGTTAAAATTCTACTCAATATTATGTAGACTAGATAAATATAGGTGTCGAATGTGCTGAAAAGCATCTATGCACGAACAATAGGAATATATGTTACTCCTATTGGGCATCTATGCGAAGAAAACACTAATTTTGTATTACCATTGTGAAAAAAAAACTTATTGACTGTTCATCATCATTTGTTTCACAGAGTTAAATCAGCGAGTAGATTTCATATTTGTATGAGTATGATTAAGCTATTAATCAAAATGAAAGATTGCTCTGATGAGAGAAATAACTAATTAAAACAATGTCTTATATATCTATCAAGTAGCAGTAGAAAAATTCGCGATACAACCTTATCTAATTTAGAAGATAATACTATATGTATTAATTTAGCTAACAGCGTTTGTTACTGTGTGTCGTTTACTTTTTAGTTATAGAAATATTTAACATAAAATGAGTTAGAAAGAAAATAGAATGAAGTTTTGTGACAAGTGACGTGCATGAGCATAACGTTGACAGTTGCTTTGAATTTTATGCACTTGAATATACGCGCAAGTCATTTAGATATATTCATAATTTACTTCTTAACGACATAAATATATATGTTTTTTGTTTATGAAGAAGAAATATACTAAATGTATCGTCAAGGAATTAATCACATTAAAAAAATACTCATTCGTCGATAAATTTTTCTGAAGGATAACGATACAACAATTTAAGTCAGTGCATTATGTTTGTTATTCTAAAAATGGGTGGAAAAAAAAATTTAATTCTCAAGTATAAAATAATCTTTAACATTTCAATAGTATAGATTATCTATAAATGTACTATACACTACGAAAAGTAATAGATGATCAAATAAATAATATAAGAGAATACTATACCCGTTGTGTTCTATCATAAATACATTCTTACAGATATGAAAGGATTATTTTTACTGAATATGAAAATCTTTTATATGTTAAGAAAATGTTCATGAATCGATATCTCTCGGTTTTTTTTTGTCTTTTCTCTTATGAAAAAGAAAATAAAGATTGAGTATCCTATGAAAAGTATTGCTTCAAAGAATATCTTTTTGTAAAGAGAAATTATTTCTCCATAGACACACAATGATTCTGTTTAAATCACATACTTTTTCTAATGTGTATAATGTTAAGAAGACTGGTTTATTTTTGAAAGACGATTTCCCTATAGAAAATATTCATATTATTATTTAACAATAAATCCATGCTACTTTGATTTTAAAAAAATGTAATAAACTTGAATAATAATAATAATAATAATAATAAAGAATTGTTACAGACTGATAGGTATCAATAATGTTTTGTTTGATTCTATTCAATATAAATATCGATGAAACGTATCTTTTTTTTTTTATTTGTTTGAAGAAAAAATAAATTTACTTGATGAACACTTCTATTTGCCATTGATTTTCTCTTTATACTTATTATAATCCGCGTTATTATTCACGTCTTCTCATCATCACGACTCGCAATAAATCAAATGAAAAGAGATAATGCTAAAATACTTCATTTGAATCCTGAAAGAATTTAATTAAAAGTTTTCAATGTCATTTAAAACATGTATTTATATATAATACGTAGTACATAATATTATCAAAAGTATTTCATATATTACAAAGAAAACATTCCATATGAATGAAAATTTTATTATGTGTTTAAATTTAATGGATCAGAACAGATATTTTTCCTTTCATGAATTATTGTAGAAATGACTCCTTTCAACACAAAGATTCATTTTTTGTTACAATCTTTATGGATACAGTGATATTTAGACTAATTATAATTATAAAAATGAAAAGACTAGTTATTGATGAAGCATTAAACCAGATCGTTTGCTTCTTAATCTTGACTGATAACAATTTAAGAATAGACACATTACTCATTGTCATTGTTGAAATCAGTCTACAATTCTAAAAAACATTTATAATTTAATCAATTTTCCCTTTTATTTTCTATATGCGATTGAGGTCATATCTATCACTCTTATTTTTTTGTTCTATATATGCCCGAATAGCTTTTTTTTCCCGATTTTACTTATTATTTATTTTGTATCGGGCATCATTTAATATATTGGAATAATTTGTTGAATACAATTTTTAAAAGCATTAATGTATATGAAATGAAAATCAGTGATAACACTCACAATTGCTCTAGAATCTTTGACATCGATCAATACGGAAGAAAACTATATACTATTGACAAAAAAAAATGAATAATTTTCATATGAAAGAGTCTAATCATTTTTACGATCACATGTCAATCAATATCGCGTCAAAGATCAATCATACTTTTACGTAGGATGAGGGAGTCGCAGTTACGATTTTCACTGATTGAGTGGATATTAAATACCATAATGTTTATTTCCAAACTTATTAACAAATGAGTTTTCTCTTTTTAATAGGCACCAAAAAATAAAAGTCAACGAGGCCCGTAAGACTTATTTTACTTGTCAAATGTCTATTTTTGATTTGAGTTGTCAACAAATCAAAAGCTTACTAAAAACAAAATATAACAGTATAATTTCCGATACTGTTCGGCATGATGTTTTTTTCTTTTCTGCTTAGTGAACAGATCAAACGATTCTATTGAATTTGGATTGATAGAGGTAACTTTAATTGATCGAAGCAATGAAAAACTAATTTTAATCAAAAGTTTCGAAGAATCAATTTACCGTTTGATCAAGACAATATGAATTCATTAGGTCTTATTAAATAACAAAAACATCTAACTATAGTATTCGTTTTCAAGCGATATGCAAGTTTTAGTGTATTATAATAGTGAGTCAAATACTTCAGCAAAGAAGCTTTCGCTCGAACTTTATTCCTACAGAATAGAATTTCGTTAAACTACAATAATACCGGAAGGAAAAATCAAATGATCTTAATTATTCATTAGTCTTACTAATACTTACTTCTATGGAGAAGTTAGAGATAAATTTTATGATAGTTGAGACGATTATTTCGTTAGTTTTTATTTGGAATTTTGTCTATAGTAAAAAAGTGTTTTTTTATCTAAAAATTGAAATGGATTTCCTAATGAACTTGTAATAAATCCAATGATTGTATTTAACGCATAGTAAAACTTCGATATTTCAAGAATATAAGATCAGAAAAAAATATTTAAGGATATTCTACCGTTCAACGGAATTCGATATATTTGAAGAATCTGACAAATTTTTTAATCAAATATCTCATTGATGTCTTTATTGTATATGCTATCCACTTACTGACAAAAACATACGATCGTTGTTCTACTTAAAAGAAGTAACAAAAACAGACAAATTATCAAGTTTTTTTCTTTTAGTTTTTTGAAATATTGTCTAGCAAACTTTAACAATCGATCCTTTCATTTCAGTTGATTTCTGAAAAGTTTTTCGTTAAAAAGAATAAATCGAGTGTTTAGTAAAAAGTCGATATTAGAGAAAATCAGTTGCTACTAAGCATTGGTGATGGAGCATCATTTCAAAATGAGCTATCTTTTTACTATTTTATAAAAGGCTATTGAATAGTTGTAATCTAATCGAATCAAATTGTTTTTTAATAATTGAGTTTCGATAATTCTTTCTTTTAGCACATATGAAAGGAATTCTTGAAATCTCTTATACGCATTAGTATATTTCCCTAAATGTTTACTAAATGGAGGGGTGTCCAAGAACTGAGAAATAGGAATTCCTACTCGATTCCCCCCACAGTTCCTTGATCCTCAACATTAAAATATTGCATTATCCACAACATTTTTCGCATTCACACCTACTCCACGAAAAATTGTGTAAAGATGAATGTGTGGATGTGAAAAATATTGTAGAAAATGCACTACTTTGAATGTTACGAACCATAGAACTGAGAGGGAATTGAGGGCCAATCTCCAATTCCCTGGAGAATTATCATCGCTCTGCTGATAGTTCCTCGTCAGTTTAGGAATTCCTATTTCTCAGTTCTTGGACACTACTGAATAATCGATTCTAATCCTAGGCTTTTACATTGCTCTTTATTATCGTTTAGATCTGTTAAATTGATAATTTCGATTTTTTTTTAATCCTCTCTGTATTCATTTACTGTCGCTATTTGTATTGGAATTAAGTAGTGATGTGCTCGTTGAGGATGGCTTGTTTTTCATATCAAAGTAATGGATTAGTATTTTTCGCGCTGTCATCATTACAAGATGCGTTTGTTGGCAAGAGCAAATATATATATATATACATAATACGGATCTTTAATCTATAGTAGTAGCCGATATTGACGAATAACATATGATGATTCAAAGTATTCTTGTTCTTTTGTTGATTTTTATTGCTAGTAAGATGAAATTATAATATCAGGCGGTAAAATCTCTCTCTTATCTTATGTTAAGATGTGCAATCATTATCCATATCTGATAGAGCCAATCGAAAAATTGAATGGAACACATTGAAGCTCAGATGGGGTCCTGATCCACTCGTATCGAACGATGAAGTCTACATTAGACAACCACGAACAGTACAACAAGCACTACAAGAACAATACGAACAATTGCCAGATACTCTCGAAAAACAGTGTATCGGTAAGTATATAATCGAAGAAACTTTTATCTGATCTATCCGAAATCAATATGATTCAAGCAATTGTTCACAATCTATAAGAGAATTTCTCATAAAAATTTTTTCAATAATAGTAATGCTGTAAAATATTCAAAGTAGACTCTAAAGTAGATTGATTCGTTATTGCTTGCACAAAATTTCGTAGATACATACTATTCGAAATACATATGAGAGAAAAGATTTTATGGATATGTTTCAACGTATTCAAAAGCTTCGAACCAATATAATCGATTTATATCTTCTTCTCCTAGCAAGAATGACATGCGAATGTTTAAAATTGACTGTATCAATACCAAGCATGTCTTTTTTCGCTTTGAATGTTCACTTGTTGAAATTGTTCTCAAATAGTTCGATATTTCATATTTTACGACATTGTTATTGTCGAGAGAAATTAGTTATCAAACTAATCCAAAAGCTCCAATTTGTCTAATATGTGACAAAAGTCTTATGGATAGTTCGATACTTCATCTGTTGAACATCAGTAATAGAACTGAAATGTCTTTTATTATTGATTTCTAATTAAATCACAGTTGATATGTCCATTCAGACAAATGAAAACATCGATTATCTGTGAAATTCTTCGAAAATAATCTTTTGACAGATGAATAAGAATTTAAAAGCGGCAGTATTCAACAGAAAACACGACGTGTCTGAATAAGAACGTTCTCAATTGCATTTCTAAACGCTGAGCATTATCAGTTTCATTAGACTTTGATATTATAATTACTGATCGAATTTAGGTGAAACAACGATCGGTTATCGCTACTGGAAAGATAATGATACAGCAGCTATTCTTATATTCGACAAACAAGGTACCATCGCCGGTATTCAAATTGCTGTGAGTAGTTTTGTTTCTTTCTTTCTCTCTCTTTGCGGAACTCTTCTTCTATAAAGTTTCGTCGATCAAGTATCAAAGGTAATTATTATTCGTTTGACACTCAAAAAATGTTCAATGTGGAGATGATCAATGGTATCGAGATGTATACATTGACTGCTTATTTCATTGATCCAAGTTCGTTGTTTCTTCTTCTTTGTATTCATTATTGATGTTGTGGTTTAAGCTTTAATCTGTACGGTTGGACGAACTCTTTCACAGCTCGAACATGAAGGAACAGGAACAGGACTCTTTCTTCAAAACGGAACGAATCCAATTAAAGATTCCATTGAAATACCTTTGTGGGAAAAGGATATTGGCAAAACAAAATGGGTTAAAGGTGCCTGTTTTAAAACAATGGGTAATTATATTTTTCTCTCACTCATGTGTTTTCCTTTATCATGATCATTTGAAATTTCAGGTATTCATTACTGGTACGATAATCGATTGGACAAGAGTTGTTCTGACTTTTTTCCGAGTTTTCTCATGTATAACAAGGGTCAATTGAGTGGCTTCGGATGGGCTATTGTCGCTAACCTCAATTTTTCGCGACGCATTGAACGGGTACTGACGCCGGTCATTTCGGTAAGTATTTTCTGCTTTTATTTGTCTGTTATTCTTAGAGTTTTAATTTAGACATTTCTTATTCCTGTTCCAACATGTATACCGAAAGTCAATGATGAACTTGGTGGTTTTACAACACAACATCTCTATTTCAATACTGATCCAGCTAATCTAGAATGTTAATGGCATATATGATTTCAAAAAACAAAAATAAATAAATCAGAACAAAAACCTAGCTATCAGCACGATCCCTATGGGATTCCAATGTGCAACATAATGAAGCCGCTTTTGTTGTCTATCGAGAAATTATTCAGATTTGTCACGATTCGTACTCGGATGTCAAGAGAAACGTGTTGGAATGTTTGTTCTAGCCAGTTACTACGATAAAATAAGTCATATGATAAGGAAACAAACCGAATTTTTTCGAATGTCGAGATTTTCACAGAGGACATACGAGATCATCGAGCATTGTTGTACTATTACATCGAATTGAATTTTCTTTTTATTATCGCCCAACTACTGGATCAAAGTTTTGAATTAGTCAATACATATAGTAAATTCTTATGATACATATTAAATTATTACTTGTTTCTAAAGACATATTCTGCCATATTGTTCGACTCGTATGTGCAAAAATGCGATTCGAAAGTCATTTATTGTTCAATATGAGCTGCTTCAATATCTACTTACCAAAAAAACAATCCCGTTTTTGCAACGTCAAAATTCGGTCACTCTGACTTTCTTCCATTTTGACAATAAAAAGAGCAACTATAAAATAAACCGTTCTTTACGAATTGTAGAGCTTTTCACGCTGCATCTTATGGTATATTTAGTTTTTTTAAATATAACCTATTAAATGATAATAAAATGAAAAGCAAAAGTGCCCCATTCTTTTATACCACACCCATCGTGATTCAAATGCCACCAGCTAGTTTTCAACAAAAAAACAGTTTTTACCGAAATTTTATTATTATAATATCACTTGAATAGTGATCAAATAACATAGAAAAATAGAGCGAAAGACGCTCTATCTTTTCATAAATAAAAGAAAATTTTTTCAACCTTTCTATAAAGAAATTTAATAATGGCGCCACTACTTTTGGATCCCCCTAAGTATTTACCATTTTTTATGTATGAGATAATTTTATGCAAGTGACATGTTAAGGTATGACTCGTAGCTAGGACATGAGAAATGGGCAACTCCAGATTTACTGGGAAAATTTTTCGACTGACATTTAGTTTCGGGTGTGGATATGGGTATTATTAAAGAAAAGAATAACACTCACACCCACACCCTAGGTTCGATCCTGAACATACTGTAATTTTGGTAGCAGTGTACCTAGAAATACTGTAGAATAGTACCCAATTGAGTATTTGATCAGTATCTTCAAGTATCCAGTTACTATACATTTTGTAGCAGGATACCTGCCAAAATACTACTTAGGTGCTTGAAAGTACCTATACGTACTTTGGTATTCAAAAGTTCCTGTGACATACTAGTAACAGGGTACTTTTTCGGGTACCCTTAACTCAGTATATTTTCTAGGGAGACAAATGAGTCCTATTATTCAAAATAAAAAAAAACATGGATTACAAATGATTGGTAAAACGGGGATGAGAAAGTGAGCTTTAAATGTTGATTTTACACGTTGAATTCACTTTCTTTGGATATTGCAACAAATGATGTTTAATAAGAATGGAATAGGATAAATCCATGCTTATTTAAGCACTCTTTTGGAAAGTTCTTATGGATATTTGTTGCGTTAGTTAGCAGGAAGTACTCAGAAAACACCTTTGGGCTCGAAAACATTTGCCGTCTTTTGCCTGAACTGTTGGAAATTCACAGCATTTTCTAGGAATATCCAAAGAAATTTTCATCTCATATTTTGTCCTAGAACAGAGACTATTCTACTTACTCAATCTCCAAAGGATTTTTCTTATTCTTGAAATCTAGCCGAAATACAAATGTTTCAAAGGACAGTATCTTTATAAAAGCATACACATGTGAAAATACATTGTGTTTTGAAACATTTATATGTTGATCAAACATCAATAAAAAAAAGAAAAATCCTTTGAAGATTGTACTAGTAAAATGGTTCCCTGCTCTTGGACAAGCGTACGAGGTGCAAAGCTTGAAATCACTTCTGAAAATCTCTTTAGACCTTCCTAACGAATGTCACTGAGTAATCCATTATTTTCCTAAAAAGTTCCATTTTATTATTGACAAAAAACACTATTCACATAAATTGTATTAAATTACTGAAAATTTGAATTTTTTTAAGGTTATTCTTCTTTTTCAAAATCTATTCAACTTGAAAAATCATAGAGGCCAAAGTATATTCCTTATGGCTACGCTCAGCTGTCTGATAACGAGCGAGAAGTATAGTTATGCGTTTGTTTTATTTAATAAAAAAAATTGAATAGCTGTCATATATTACTTCAATAATACTTCAAATTCGAATATAAAACAAAATTATTCATCACTAAGACATATTTAAAGTAGTGGAGATGGTGATGTAATATTGTATAGAAAATTCGAAGAAACTTTTTCTTTATATATACTAATAATACATAACATGATCGATAAGTCTTTATTCGTCAATTAATACTATAATAATTAACTTACGATGAGAGCTATTCATCGTTGTTTTAGATAGATGAGGAAAACGTTTGCTTTTACATAGAAATCCATACTGCACTCCATACTCAAGTACTAGGTGTTCAAAATGAATTATATTTTATTTACAACAACCAGGCTACATCTCTATAGTCTAAATAGTTTCGCTAGTGGTGTGCTCTAAGTTGATATAAAAGATAATTAATAAGCATAAAATTTATCATTGATTAAAAAATAACTATCGAAGAATTTATAAAATATTACTAATGTTCGGTATAGAGAATCCTTGGTTTTTTTCGTGCTGATTTTTTGCATTATATTGAAAAATAAAAAACTATTGAAGGTTTTTTCTTTTTTTTTTTTGTATTCTATATGTAATTTCTTCACAATGACTTCGTCAATTGAAACTCTTCCACCAGAATTATTTCGATTTATTCTTGCTTATCTTTCTCCAGAAGATACATCTGCTTTGGCACAGACATGCCATCGAATGAATATAATTACACGTGATGATAAAATATGGCAGCAATATTTTTTACAAAGGTATTCAATTGTTATACTTCAGAGAAAAAAAATAAAGCTGTTGATTGAACACAGAATTGAAATTACAGATCATGTTCATAGTTTTATTTTTTTTGGATATGAATGACTTTGATATAATAAAGTAACTAGAATAGATGAAAAGTGAAGAATCTTAAAATTGATAAAATAAATGATTTAATCTACGAATATAATATGAACTAATTATGTTGAGCGCTAGAACCATTGCAAATCTAACTGTTTCCTTCAGTTTTATCAGACAAATTTTTTCATGATTCGATTTTCATTCTTAAATGAAAAATCTAATTCAAATTAAATTTTATTACTTCAATTTTTCATATTCGATTCTATCAATATGAATAACAATTAATATTCATTGCAAAAGACATAGGGCAGTTTGTCATGTAGAATTTTAATATATAATCATTGAAGAAAATTATTTATTTCACATTATATTCATCAGATTCAAACATTTATGATCTATTACATTTTAAAACTTTCTCTTTTAGGTATATATTTTCAACTAATTCAATCCAGTATTCTGATGAAGAATATTTACCCAGCTCTGCTCTCAAATTTACCGAGCCTCCTGATAATTGTACATGGCAAGAATATTTTATACAAAGATCACTTCAAGATAAACATATTCGATCTCTTCTAAATGAAATTATATCCATTCGAATAAAGCGTAAGCCATATATCCATATATCTATAGATGATATTCCTTTATAATATCTTGTTTAAATTAATAAATAATTACATTCTATTTTAAAATGGATCAATTTGCTTGTTTCCTATCTCTAATTGATGTTTCAAATTATTTAGGAATTCATAATGCTGAACTTATCTCATCAACATACGGTTTTTTGGCTTTTGACGTTCTCAGACATTATTTTTCGCCATCTATTGATACATCAAAACAATTAAACACTTCAATAACTCTTAATTTACGTAATCTTACTCGTGAATACTATTCATTAGACATAGCTCGACTTATTTCTCGAAATATTGGATTAAGTCTACTAAATGATTTGAAAAATCGAACAGAAACTCGTACAGAAGGAAAAGCATTAATTAATGCTTTATTTATTATTCAATGTTTTCATCCATATGGTATATTTCTTTCATTAAATCGTCTTCATTTAATTGGAGAACGTCTTATTAATGATCCTATATTTTCAACACTAAATGTAAATGAAAAATGTGAATCAATAATAAAAACAATGAAAATAGAAAAATTTCTTGCTGCAAATGGTGGTGATGAATATTATGATTTAGAAAATTCATTTCTTTTTTCAACATTTAATGGTAAACCAACTATTCCATTAACACTTGTTGCAATCTTTTGTGCATTAGCTGATGAATGTGGTTTAATAGCTCAACCTATTGGTTTTCCTGGTGAAGTTATGATACAAGTAGAACAATCATTAAATAATTCAATACCATTAATAATTAGTATTTTTGATGGTAAAATTATAACTCTTAATGAAATAAATGTACGTCTAGCTGATGTTCTCGATAGACCTTTAACATATCCATTATTTATTACTCCAATCATTGAATTAGTTATTCGATCAGCTCGAAATATAATAAATAGTATTAGTAGATATACTACATCATCACTTAATTCCTATGGTCTCTATGCTGCTGTATCAATTCTTAAAATTTTAGGTGATGGTGCATTACCATTTGCTTTTCATTCTATGATAAATGTGATAAAAGAACATTTTCCTATGGATATTCGATTTTTAGAAATGCTTTCATCTCCATTGACAACACTTAATGATGATCTTGATCAAATACGAAATCAAGATTTAAATCCATTACCAATTGAAGAAAAAAGACGAATAAATTCTTCTCCAAAATTTTATGCTGGACAAATATTTCAACATAAACAATATAATTATTGGGGTGTGATTTGTGGATGGGATTTAATTTGTATGGCTTCAACATTATGGCAAGTTCGTATGGGAATTACAAATTTATTACGAGGTGCATCACAACCTTTTTATCATATTTTGGCAAATGATTCTTCAAGAAGATATGTAGCTGAAGATAATATTAATACAGATGCATTTAATCTTATTGACGATCAACAAGAAAAATATTCTATTGTACAAAATTTATGTTCAATAGATGATATTGGAAAATATTTTGAAAGAGTGGATGTTATAAATGCAAGATTTATTCCGAATAATGAACTACGTAATGAATATCCAGATGATTTTGTTTAATTGTATTAATTGTATTTGATTTTTTGTTCAATTTTAATCGAGCAATATATTTTTTTAATAAACTTTTTAATGATATTCTCACAGAATGATCAATAAACAATACTAACAGTTCTATCTAGTGTAGGAAAAAAAAACCTTGCATTGATTAAGACTAAAGGATTATTTTCCAGAGAAAAAAAAATTTCATCGTTTCAACGAGAATCATATTTTTCTACATGGATAGTAGGCACGTATGTAATGAGTTATTTTGGTCTTTTTAGATATTGACTTATACATCTCAAATTTTTCCGTTCATGTTGTTTTTTTCTTTATCTTTCATAAATTAAGAAAAAAAGTCAATCGTAGAATTTCAAATATAATTGCTCGAATATTAGAACAAGGTGAGTAGAATAGAAAGTCCATCTTTCAAAAAGCATGTACATGCCTTCGGGTAATAGGAATTCTATTGAAATAATAGAAGTTTTTCAAAAATAAACGATATTTTTCGATAATAATTAGACATCGTCTAATGAAATAGTCGTTAGAGAATTACGAATATGTATGATTGGAATTGAAAATGAAGAATTGTTTAGCTTGATAGTATTCTGATTAGATAATTTAATTATTTATTTTTAAAACGTTTTTAGATATCTTAGTTTTTCATACTGAAAGTGTATTTACTCATACTATCAATTTATCTTTCAAATTGAAGCAAAACATTTTTTTTAAATTTCATGTTTAGAGTAATTTAGATGTTTATTCGTTTTTACTGTCGTGGAAGAAATAATTTATCGATTTATATACAAAAATATTGGCAATCTTTGCAGCAAAAAAATGCCTAGTTAGCACAGTTCCTTTGGAGCTAAAATATGTATCTCACATGTGTTGCTTGGCTTCATTATATTAATACAAAATAGATAAAGCGTAAAATCTCTAAAAGACTATCGTTCTTTTCCAACAATAATCAATTGTCATCAAATTCTCTGTCTTTTGTGTTTCTACATTTCGAACCGAAATTTTGTTTCATTTTCATGATAGATTATTACTAGAGTCTAGTCATTGATTTAATAGACAGATAAGCTTTTTGTACACATTTATTATACCTACACCAGATCTTAACAATCTATTATGTATTTTGATGAACTCCAACAGACTGAAATTGATTATTCCCAAAAGCTAGAACTTAATTAGTTTATGCTTTTGTATTGATCATATGACAATTATGAGAAATCAAAACATCATCCTTGATATCGGAGTTGACATTTAACTCTGGTTACTAGGACCTAAGAAGGAGCCACAAAAACATCGATCTAAACTTCTACTCACTATTAGTTTCTTCGAGGATATAATAGAAAATAATTATTTTCTATTTATAAACTATTTCAAACATGTCTGGTTCCATGCTTAACCAAAGTGTGTGCTTCATGTTTTGTTTTGTTTTTTTATTTCTTTGTTATTCTGGTAACATCATTTGGAAAAGAATTCTTTTCATAGGTGTCTTCTCTAATTTCCTTGTGTCATTCTTTATTCAGTTAAATTACAAAAAAAACAAACATTAATCTATCGATATTATAATCAATAACAAAACAAATTACTTCATTTATACAACTGAAAAAATATTAACTAATACATTTGTTTTCTTTTCATATGCCCAGGTCAAGAAATAAGGACTATTTCCGACCGAAAAATTCGATAAAATGGTAGGAACTTGAAAGCAGGAATCTGGTGGTCGACTCTGTTCGGTTACGATTGGAACTAGAAAAATTCGGCTACCAGACTCGATATTCGGATTTCTATTTTCGTCGGAAATTTAAGGATCCGAGCACCAGTATCATTAACCTAGATGTTTTCTATTAAAAATTACATTTCTTCGTCATTTCTGAATAAAAATGTTTCAGAAAAGCGTCGAAAGTATTATTTGCTAGTGTACAGAACATGCGAATCCAACCAATAACAATCAACTCAATCTTTGTTCCGGATGATTTTCAATTTATCAGTAATAACCAGGTAAGATTCTACCATGATAAAATGAGATTATTATGTTGCTCCATTAAATTATCTTTCACAATTCATCATAAATAAAAATTATTGAAACTATTTATCACTAAGACTAATAATATATCCCTATGAATAGATCATCGGATAAGTGATAGAATTCCATAGCAAATTATACAGAAAATCTTCTTTTTTTTCTTTCAGAAATGGACATCAACTTTGGTTTGGGCGACTCTAGTTGTGACACTTTCAACTAGTTTTGTTATGGGTGTCAATATTGGTGGACCTAATGTTTACAACACAGTAATTTTCTTATATTTTGATAAATGTTTGTGTTGATAAAAAGATATTCATTAGTTTATTGTACCATGGGTACGAGGATATCCATTTCCATGTCAAAAAGATACTGATATGGGACGATGGGTATCACGTGTATGGTGGAATTGTAATTATGATGATGTTTCGCTTATGAATAAAACAGGCTATTATTATTTACCTGAAGCACCAATCGATCGACAACCTATTCAACATTTAATAGATGCAATGCATACAATTTGTTTTGTTATTGGTGGTACTATCGGAGGTTTGACTGGACAATATTGGTATATATTTCTAACACGGTATACAATGAAAATCTTTATTTTTATATTTGTTGATTTGTTACTCTTTGTCTTTTTATAGAAGAAATGCTATTTTTATAAGTATGATCTTTCAAGTAGTAGCATCAATACTTATGATCATTACATTGGAAATCTATCATGGATATACTGAAGGTGATCCTGATCAATGGACAATCATCAATACACTTGAACAAAAAGATTTAGCCATTTGTTTCCTCTATATATCACGGCTTTTATCTGGATGGTCTGCTGGTAAGTATAATATCTATTATATAAACAAAACAAAAAACAAAATGACTGAATATTTTTCAGTCTAGAGTTCTTATTGACATGAAAATAGGGGTGATAAAATCCATCGGTATTTCATTTTATTTTAAATAAAATTTACTTTTTATTGTGAGTAAATTCAATATCGATTTATTGGAAATAGTTTACGTTAGTAGAAGTATATAAGATTAGAATTCTATAGAAAGTCGAAAGTTTATTTAAATCTACTGTTGAAAATGTCAATAGAAGCTCTAATGACATACCTATATAATCGGATCTATGAGTCTCATATTAATGAAGATGATGTCCATTGTCAAGGAAATATTTAGCTGGTTATTAAAAACAACATATACTGTCAAATTCGTCGAAATTTTATCGCATTGATTCAAAAAATATTAGACAGAATTAAAGATTCCTTTTTTTTTGACGTAGGTATGTGTTGTGTTGTATCAACAATTTACTTAATGGATATCAGTCCACGAACTATGCGCGGCAAAATTGTAACATTTCATCAGTTATTCATCGTCATTGGACTTCTTCTTGGACAAATCATTGGTCTTCCATGGCTTCTTGGTCGACATAAGTAAATTAACATTGATTATTCATCATGACATTTAATTTTTTTCATCGAGTTTTAGTACATGGAATTGGGGTATGTCATGGATTGGTCTATTTTCATTGGTAGGTTGTTTTCTCATTTGGACATTACCTGAAAGTCCACGATGGTTAGTACAAGATCAACAAAGAGATGAAGCTGCTCGATCACTTCGTAGTCTTCGTCGGAATACTTGGATCGAAGCAGAACTCAATGAAATTGAAAGACAAGAAGCTACTGCTACTATGCAAGATACATCCATTTATAGTATATGTATCTCGCCACGTTTTCGTTGGCCATTATTGACTAGTATAACATTGAATGCTGTTCAACAATTCTCTGGCATTAATTCGGTAAGCAAGAAGACATAAGAACTATTTATACAATCATTATTTTCAAATTTTAGGTATTTTTTTATTCGAGTTCAACACTTTCAGCAATTGGTTTTGTTGAAGATAAAGTTTATTGGGGTATACTTTCAACTGGTATAATTAATCTAGTTGCAACAATAGCATCACTTAAACTTGTGGAATTATTTGGTCGTCGACCTTTAATTCTTTATCCACTTGTTCTAATTGTTTTCATCATGATTCTATTATGTGTCTTCGTTGAAATCCATAAACGTATGTTTTCTATATATATTCATAGTAGATTTTGTGTTTTAGAAATCAATATTTTAGCTATTGCTATATTAACATTAACATTACTCTTCATTGCTTTATTTGCCGTTGGTCTCGGACCAATTCCTTACATTTATCCGAATGAAGTATTTACAATTGACATGCGACCAGCAGCTCTTTCTATTTCAATGTTTGCTGGTTGGTTTTGTAATACATGTAAGTGTTTTTTTTTATTAAAATAAAATAATGATGAAAGTCTATAACTCATATGTATTTATATTCTTTATAGTAATAACTGTAGTTTTTCAAGCATTAAGAACAGTTTTTCAGGGTTTCGTTTTCATCATCTTTTGTGTTAGTTGTTCATTCGCTTTTTGTCTTTTATGGTTTAAGGTTAGTTTGTTTTTTTAGTTGACTCATATGTGAATAGATTTTTGTTTTTCTAATGTTTATTTTTAGATGCCCGAAACGAAACGTAAAACACTGGCTGAAATCGAAGCATTTTGGCAATAATAATTGATCAAACAATTTCAACAATTTAAAACAAAACTTCTAAAAGAAATTTACTTAATCTTTTAATAAATTTTGCTTATATTCGTAGATAGATTTACATATTCATGGAAAGCATCATTTTTTCTTTAAAAAGTTTACGTTTTAAAAAATGATTCTTATTCCTTGAGGAGACGCTTTAGATAATGATTTCCTCTTAATAAAAAAAAAAGGAAAAAGTCCTTTTTTCTGTATAAAAAAACAACGCTTGTCAGCATGGACTCTTTGTGACTAAAATGCGGAATTCATATGTGTTCTTTAGCCTCATTATACTATTACAAAAGACATCAAATGAAGAATCTCTAGCAGACTGTAGTTGTTTGCCAAGGATAATCGATCGTCAGAGAAACGATCTGTCTTATTTATTTCTACATGTCGAATAGAATTTTTTTTCTATTTTTTACTGGTGTTCTGTTTTTTGTGTTTACTTTGTTGCTATATCTTCATTGGTACGAGCGATTTTTCGTCTGGTTGATCTCATCGAGATAGGTCTCTATCGGTTTTCATTGTCTAAAAATATGAAATAAAACAAACCAGTAAGCTCTAATATCACCATGTAAATATCTAAACATACTGGTTGGAACTGTAAAACCATGAAAAACAGAAATACATTCTTTTGATTGAGTTCATAATAAAATGATTATTATACGTTCTGATCGGTAATGATAAGAGATAATATCACTAGGTAGTCAGGAAATACTCATCATCCCATATATTGTAATCTCAACGGAAGCATTTTTTGTCATCTATTAGGTATAGATATTCTCTTCATATATGCTCTATGCTTGCTATTATACTTTATGTGTGTATACACAAAGAATTTCCTTTTTTAGAGTCTGACTTGCTGCTGTTTAAATTTTGATGTCTGTTTATTAATATTATAATATTTTATCATGAAAGTAATAGACTTGAAAGATTAGACATCTGAACGGATGACAGAATTTGTTAATTTATTTTTTGAGTTTGTATAATGGTAAGTGTTTGTTATTTGCTGGCATTTGGCTTTTTTTGTTTAAAAATAAATACGCTCTTGTATATCTAAAGATTATATTTTCACGTTAGATTTATATGTCTGTAGTAAATAGTCAAAGTATTGTTGATGACATCTAATAGAAGATAACATAATCCGGATTTACAATTCAAATGTTCTTTTCTATATTTCAATAGATATCGAATTGTATCTGTCTATTATCATTTTTGCAATCCTTTTCAATAAAATTTTGAAACAAAAGATAGGCTGAAAGTTTCTAAAAAAATATTTTCTTTCCGTTCGAGATTAAATATTAAATAAAATATCTAAAGGCACAAGTCTTAGTTGACAAAAAAAAAATACCTCATTTATTTTTTTAATATTATCATTCACCAACCGGATGGTAATTTTATACGCTTTTAATAAAGATTTATGTATTTGAATAAGATCTTAATAGTTTATTATTACATTTATTATTCCATTTTGATAAAAATGAAACACACACTAATGAAAAATTAATAGATATCTTCAATATAGTTATTAGTATGAATGTCTAAACCTGACATATGATGGAATAATATGCTGCAGTTTTTTTTTTAATATTTTAAAGGCACTGACATTTTCAAGAACATTTTTTTCTTACTAAGAATAATATCTCGTTTACATCTTTCTCTCTCTTAAATCGGATAAGATACCATCTATTTAATGTAGTTTACATGGGTGACACACCAGGAAAGAAAGGGAAAGCAATTCCTTCCCTTAAAAAAAGGTTTGGAGAAGTAATAAAGATTTATTGCTTCCCAAATTTGTGCATGTTTCTTTCATAAAATAGAATGAAAGTACAAAACTCAAAATAGATTCTGTACGACTTTTTGGTTAATATAGGAATATTGATCTGTTGACTATTATCTTATGAATTTTTTATCATTATCTTGATGAATACGTTTACGGTTGTATACATCTGACATCAACTCTACCAAGAGAATTAAAGTCAAGTTAATCTAGATTTAATTGATGGGATATAATCACTAATCTTCTCTAGTGCTAAGTTTTCATAAAAATAAACTTTCTATTCGACTTTTTGATATTTTTGCTTTTGTTTTAATCAAATTTACTACTCACTTTTTAAAATATAAAATATGTTGTCAGTTTCAGATGAACTAATACTCAACTCTTCAACATTATGTCTGTCAGAAATCATGTATTAAAAAAAAAACTTATATTACCGAACTATTCACTATGGGAGCAGGGGCGGAGGGGTTTCATTTAGTATTGTGTTAAAGTTTAGTTTATTTAATAAAAATGGAATAATTACATAATTCTATTCAATGAGAAATATATTGACTTATTAAAAAGAAAATTAATTGAAATGATGTGATTTTTATAAATTAATATTTAATTTCAAAATAGAATAGAATTCTTTTTTTATATTATCTTAGGAAGAAAAAAAAGATTTATAATCACTTCTATTATGAATATCACTAAAGAACGATAATTAAAAGATTTTCTATAAAAAAAGATGTTGTTCCTTCTTCTTTTTTTTTTCTTTTCCTGTTCGTATGCGTGATTCTCTTCAGAATAAAAAGAAAAACAAAACTATGTTTTAGTTTTCAAAGAAAAGAAACGCAAGATGATACTTACATTGATGTTTTATTAAACTCAAATGATGTTTTCTACGAACATAAATAAAAATATCAATCGTCATTTAATTGAAATAAAACCTAATAGAGAAAATATTCGTTTAATTTATTTAAATAATATTGAACCAACATTTGATATACAATCAAATCTACTTAAAATAAATCCAGCTACACAATTTTATACTAATATTCAATTATGTATTGATTTTATAAAAACAATTTCTAATGAAGAAATTTTTTTAATTATATCAAATATATTATTATCAAATATATTTGATTATATTTATTTTTTACAACCAATTATTGCTATTTTTATTTATGATGATAAACAAGAAATTAATGAATTAAAAATTAAATATCCGAAAATAATTGATAGATATACAAATCAAAATGATTTATTAAAATCAATTCAAGAAAAAATTCAATTTATTGAAAAACAAACATTTATTTATAGTTTATTTGATCAAAAACATAAATCAATAAGAGATTTAACAAAAGAATCAGCTACATTTCTTTGGTATCATATGTTAATTAATATTTTTAAACAAATGCCACAAAATGAATCTTTACGTGATGAAATATTAAATAAATGTTCAGATTATTATCGAAAAAATCGTTTAGAATTAGATAATATTGAATTATTTCGTCAAAATTATCAATATCAACAAGCTATTCAATGGTATACAAATGAAAGTTTTTTATATAGATTATTAAATCGTGCATTACATATAATAGATTTTGAAATTTTATATTCAATACGTTTTTTTCTTATTGATTTATATTTTGAAATTGAAAATAAATATAAAAATATTAAAAATCAAGAATATTTAATTGTTTATCATGCACAAATTATGTCTATTGAAGAAATTGAAAAATTAAAAAAATATATTGGTTGTTTAATTTCAATAAATCATTTTTTATCAACATCACGTAATAAAAATCTTTTATTATCAATATTTCAACAAAATTTTTCAACATATATAAATGTTCTTTTCGAAATTCATGTTAATCTTTCTAATGAAACAATTATTTTAACTGATATATCATCATATAATTCCATATATCAAGAAAAAGAAATTTTATTTAATATAAATTCATTACTTAAAATAGATTCTATTGAATATGATTCTATAAATAATTTATGGAATATAAAATTAATAGCAAATCATGATGAAACAAAACATATTAATGAATATTTAAAATGGATTCAAAACGAAACAGATTATCATAGTACAATGATCTATTTTGGTCATCTATTATGGAATAATCTAGGTCAAATGACTCAAGCAAAAAATTATTTTCACATATTATTAAAATCTTTATCAAATAATCATACAGATATTCCAAAAATTTATATTGAATTAGGACATATAAATAATGAAATTGGAGAATATAACTCAGCATTACATAATTATCAATGTGCTTTAAATATTTATCAAAAACAAATACCAAAAGATAATATTTGTATTATTTCATCATTAAATTATATTGGAATTATTTATAAACATATGAGTAAAATTGATCGTGCTATAGATTATTATCGACAATCATTAGATATTTATGAAACTACATGTTCACAAGATCAAAATCATATTCATCGAAGTAATATTATGATTAATATGGGTTTAGCATATAGAGATAAAAAAGATTTTAATACTGCACTCAATTATCTAACTCAAGCTTATAATATACGATGTGATATTCTTCCAAATGATGATCTATTAATTGCAAATTTATTGATAGACATTGGTAATATTTATCATGATAAACATGATTTAAATCAAGTTCTTAATTATTATCAACAAGCTTTATCAATTCAAGAACTAGTCTATCCAAATGATCATTTAAATAAAGCAAAACTAATACGAAATATTGGTATTATTTATTCTGATAAACAAGATTGGCAAAATGCGTTAAATTATTTAAATCGTACATTAAAAATGTATCAATGTTTATTATCTATGAATATAAATCATCCTGATATTGCTATATGTTATGGTGATATTGGTAATATATATGAAAAAATGAATAATTTAGATTTAGCATTAAATTATTATGATAAACAATTTCAAATTGAAGAACAATGTTTATCTTTTAATCATTCAAATCTTATTATACATTTTGATAAAATAATAAATATATTAAAAAAGAAAAATCAAATTGAAAAAGCAATTAATTTATGTCAAGAAAAATTATTAATATTAAAAAATATTTTTGGAATTGAATATGAATCTAATACACGTATAGTTCGTATATTAATATTAATAGCAACATTATATGAAGATAAAAATCCTCGTGAATCTCATCAATATTATCAACATATTTTAGAAATTTTTGAACATAATAAAAATGAAGACATTTTTCAAATATGTCTTTCAACAATGATTAATTTTTATTGGAAATGTCGAATGTTTGATCGTGCATTAATATGTCAAATGAAATTACTTAATCTTCGACGTTCAATATTATCATCAAATCATCATGATATTGCATATAGTTTACGTGATTTAGCACGACTTTATCGTGTTATGAATAAATCAAATGAAGCTTTACAATATTTTAATCAAAGTTTACGTATTCTTCAAACAAAATATGGTTCAGAACATATTGATGTTAAAAATATTCAAAAAGAAATTATCGATTTAAAAGATATTATAAAATCTCTATCAGCTAATGCTGATGATGATTATAATAATCGTCGTTCTTCGAATGCACATAAAGAATTCTTTAGTATGCCACAAAATGATACAAATTCTCAATCATCTACATCAATTTATGGTATAAAAAATAAATCATCAACATCAGACTCAACGAGTGTAGTTTGTGTTATTATATAAATACAATCATATTGTGAAACTCATATATATATGTTCAAAGAAAATACTGAGTTTAAGCTCATTTCCCAGAATTCCCTAGCAACGAAAAAAAAATCCTAAACGGCAATATCAACAACATTTAGACTGTTCTAGAATATTTAAAATACAGCAGTTTTTGAGTTTTACGCAGATAAAATTTTATATTCAAGATGTCAACAATAATTGATAGTGATGTATTGATTTTCTACAGTTGTCATATGATCAATGTAAAAAAAAAACGTGAATTGATCAAGTTATAATTTTAGAAAATAATCAATATCAGTATTTGTGAGTTGAGATTTGCTACTGTAGATATAATGCATATTAACAAATGCTTTATTTGCAAGTTAAATCAATGATAAGAATAATAACAATGTTAAATTTTAAAAAAATACAACATGAAAAAATAAAGAGGGAATTACAAAAAAAAAGCAAACAAAAAATAGAGCGCTCGTAAAATAAAATAGATTCTTACTCTGATAATCGATTATCTTTGAAAATAATTATAGTCTATGAGAGATTTTTCATTTTACGTATTTTGTACTAATTTAATCAGGCTAAAAAAGATACGTGAATTTCACATTTCAGTCTTAGAGGGGCTGTGCTAGCAAGCTTTTTTTATCTAATAATTAATAATAATAAGCAATAATCCTCGAGATTTGCATGCTTAGTCAGAATAGATAAACTTTGTGCTATATTATCTTTTGAATGTATTAAATAACAAAAGTTCAGTTTATACAATATTTAAAAAAGCTTTCAACTGAATGAAATAAATATTCTCGACAGCTAATTAATTACAAGAAGAGAATTCTTTTCATGCCATATGTTTGTTCGCACTACCGTTGGCAACGCTTACAACTTAGAATTTAAATTAACCAAGAAGAAAAATATTTTAGTAATAAAAATTCTTACAACGCCATCTATAATAAAAATTTGTCTTATAACTGCGACTTGATTTGAGCTCTGTAACTAGTACAGACGGCCCAGAGGATGTTTTTTCTTAAATATGAAATAAAAAATAATCAAAAAACGAAGAAAGTAAAATTTGTAGCAAAATCTTTTGTCATGAAACATAATTTAGATATTTCGTTTTTTTGAGACATAAGAAAGTTAAAGCAAAATTTTGAATTACGAATATAATATTACATAACAATGTTAATAACGATGTATCAAATTGCATATATAAAAATGAAAAGATGTCTTAACTAAACTTCAGATAAACAAATTTATTGAACCAATTAATCTATGAAGAAACCTCTTGAAGTATCATATTGTTATTAAATTGCGACTAGTTACATTCGATAAAGCCTGGTGAGAAATCAAAAAAAGTCTAGAATAATTTATTATTTCAAGTCTTCACTGTCGAACTTTTTAGTTTTCATTGTTTTTGTTTCAGAAGAACACCTATATAGGTCACAGATGTATTTTGATAATCAATTTTTGAATTGTAGTTTGAAGGTTGGTACAGATAAAGAATTCAATAAGATAAAATCGTGATGAAAATTTCAAATGATTTGAAGATTCTTATAGTGACAGATAGACATATAGATAAAGTCTATTGAAAAAATTATATAAAAATGTCAATGTTGTTAAACAAATCAACACTCTTTTCATATACCAACATCTCAGTATAAAAACAACTAAGCTATTGGATATTGGCAGTAATTAGAGTTCTGTGGAGTCAAAAGTTTTGACTAACATATATACTCCTATTCTGCTATTTGTCAAGAGCATCCCGTTCTTCTTGCCGGGGCTTCTGAAGAACGGCTCATTAGAAAAATTTAAAATTTTTAGGACAGGTAGATCTTGATGAGTAGAACAAAAGTTGTCAGAGATCCAAAGTTTTTGGATGCTGTCATCAATGAGATACTAGGATCACAATGGCAAAAAATGGTTCCAATTTTCGCCCCCCCCCCCCCCCCTTCCCCTCCCTGTTTCCCCGAGATGCTGTGTTCGATTGAGCTGAAAACTTTTTTACATGTACTAAACAGTGTTTGGGGTGGGGTATCTTTTTATTTTGTAAGAGCTATTAAAAATCAGTAGAACAATATTTTTTGAAATAAAGCGAGAACACTTATTCCCAACAGCGTATAGTATATTTGGAAAAAATTTCTGCACTTTTTCTCGTGAAAAAGTTGTTTTTTGGGGAAAAAGTGAAACAATGTACAGTTTTCGTCTATTTGATTTCTTCTCGATTTTTGGATCTCAAAGTGTACCCAGTGGATAGATACTACTTCAAAGTATACAATGGCAACAATGAAACAAAAGTTTTGGATCGCAAAAGGGGATGGTACTCTTAATGGAAATATCATATATATACATTGAAATTTATTCAAAACAAAATCTTCAAAGTTATTTTTGTTGCCTAGAACAACTAAAATATGTAAATGACATATATCAATCGATTTATTTTCATTTTATACGAAATTCTTTAATCATTAAGTTTCTTTTTTTTTTTTTACTAATGTACGTTTATGTATTTTTCACATCTTTTTATATAATTTATTTTTAAGCCAAAAAAAAATGTTTCTTTTTTTACCATGGGATTTAGTACTAAAGATTTTGAAGACGACAACACATCATCAAGAAGAAAAATTAATAAAAACAACGACTACATCTACACCAACAACAACAACATCAAACTTCTATTCACCTACAATCAATACTATTCAAATAAAACAAACAACAGAAAATCTGACTACATATATAAAAACAATAACATTTTATAATTATTCATCTATGATAAATACTACTCCAAAAAACAATATTACTATTCGAAATAAAATTTTTATTTCTTTATTCATATCATTAATATTAATTTCATTATGTATTGGTATTAGTTATTGTGTTATGATACATTTTAATCATTATCTTAATATGACATCGACTATTAAACGAGATATATTAGTACTTAATCGAGAATCATTTACTAGTTCAGAAAATTCTAATTCTGATACAGAATTACATATATGCAAAACAAAAAAAAAACAATATTTCATTTAAAAAAATAGATAATAAAAACAAAGAAAGCTGTTCGCTAACTGAATCGATTGAATTATTTAGATATTAGATAGTCTCTTGTTTCCTTATGAGCGAGAATTTTTAAACTTTCGATTTTCAGAAGTTATCTTTCATATCTAGCTGATCATTCTAAACTAAAACACATTGCTAGAATTGAAAAAAAAGATAATCATTCATCAATATATACTCTCGAATAATCTATGAAAAATCTACAAACAAAACAAAAATCATGAAGAACAGTTTTCTAATAAGGTTACTAGAGCAAAACAAGATCGTATATGATATTTGTTTTATTTTTTCGTAAATAATGCATGTGATATCCTATAAGAAGTCTACATATTCATTTGTCAATAGTATATTTATTTTAGCACATAATTTATTATCAATAACTGACTTAAAATAAAAGAAGTAGTTTTGCGATACGGAATATAAATCTTGATCCTAAATCAATGATTCCGGCACGTCCTCGCCGAAAAACTTAGTAGCATGAATTTGGCGATTAGATCGGATCACTGAATTTTTCTAATATCACTCGTAATCGAACAGAGTCGACTACCGAATTCCTACCTCCAAGTTCCTATAATTTTTCTGGCTGGCAGTGGACCGTATTTCTTGACCTGAGGTGTTTAAATAATTATCTATTTGCTAGGATTAAGTCAGCTCATATATCACCATCAATTAATGAATAGAATTCTGTTTTGTAATTCACGAACGAATAAAAAAAAACGATTGAATAGAAATATCGTTTTTACTAATACTTTATTAATGAATGTTTAAAAAAGAAAATGTTTGTCTTTTTAATAAATTATAAATAAAGTAGAAAAATTCATTGTTAATATAAAAATTAACCATGGAAGAGGCCACTTTCCATTATTATTATTATAGCAAGTATGTGTTACGTGATCAGGTTTAGCACATGGTGATTGTTGTCGGCATATTGAATTACACATTGCACAATTTCCATATGTGCTAATTTCATAATTCATACATCCATTTGCACTACAACAACCACATTTACAAAGCGTATTTCCACTAGTACTGCTGACACATGTACCATTTACTTTACCATTAGTTAATAATGATGGACATAATAATGGATATCGATTTTTACATGCCTGTGTGCAAGCACCTGATGAACATTGAGATGCTGATGTTAGACCCACATATGTTGGTGAACAATAAAAACCTGTTTGACAACACATACATGAACATGCATTACCTAACCAAGGCTCAATAGCTGTTTGAGTTGACGTTGTTGTTGTTGTTGTTCTGAGACCTTGACATGTACCTTGTGTTCGTCCATATTGATTTGATACACATAGATTTGGATATTGAGTGGCACATGATATACTACATGATTCAGTGTTACATACAAATGCAAGACTATTGCCAATATATGAAGGTGAACATGAAGGAGAGCCTGTATTGCAACAATCACATCGGCAATTAAATAGTGGAGCAGTTGTTGAATTACATTGTGGTGAAATAAGATTGTAGGGATGATGTATTTGACATTGAGAATATGTAGCTTGACATCGTGCAAGACATGTTTCTAATGTACAAGTTTGCATGCTAATCGCAGGTAAAGAAATAAGATTACATGATAGACCATAACAACATGAACATAAACATAAATGTTGTTGTGCTCGAACACTTGTCAATAACAATAAAAAATACAATAACAGATTCATCATTATGATTAGTCAAGATCACGTCGGTGACGGTTTCACATAAGAGAAGTATAATATTGAGAAAAAAAATTGATATTTTCAAGACAACAACAAAAATAGAAAGGTATATTCAAGGATGAATTTTTTTGTCAACATATTATTTGCTATAGAGAAAATAATACCTACGTACATATTTATAATCACAAGAAAAGTACACGAAAATAGGCTATAAAAAGCTTAGTATGAATTCTATGAATGGTTAACCTTTTTTTTAAAATATGATTCTAAAATATTATCATTAAGAATTTTATTTCAAGAGAGTTTATATAAGATTTTTAGGTGTGTGTTTTCTTTTCCTTGAAATATTTGTGTATCTCTAAAGTAAATGATAAAAAATATTGATACCAATATGATTCATTGTTTGACAAATAAAGACAACCAAACCAAACGAACTTTATCGTATTACCTTCTTTGATATTAGTTCAAGTATTTCATATGAAAGAAATTTCTTCTAACGATTTATCAGAATTTAGTTTTTAAGAAAGAATAAAGATAAATTCAAAGATTAATTTTGGTATTCTTCAATTTTTTCTTTGTTCGCTGGTATTTGTAAGATTCCAACGTCTAATTAAAGAAATAAGAGATATGATTAACTATTGATTAAGAGTAAAAGTACTTACATAAAGAACATGACTAGAAACTTTTCTTTTAGAGAAAAGTTTAGTGATCGAATTTTGATAGAACCAAAGATTGATATATGTCAATTGAAATTAGATTTTTGAAATTTTCAAATTAATAATCATTAGATATGATTATGGACAAATGTACTAAAGGAAAAATGTAAATTTTGCAAAATTTTTTTGAGTATACTACGGAATATGAAAGCATATTTTCAAGCAAGTATCTCGCTTAACTTCCTCGCTTACGCTATATAAAACACTGTAGAGAATGTATTCCTTATGCAGTCGGTAGAAGATTTTTTTTCTTACAATCATGTCTGCATTTTCTTTCAGCAACCGTAAATATCTTTATTTCATGAATTAAGAAGCTGCTGTGGCACTAACCAGTTGAAAACAATTGACTAGTCACTATTCTTCTGCTTAAATAATCATAAACTCTTAGAAAAATGTCATACATGTTATTGTTCAGTTGAAAGACAAAATTCACTTCTTTTTTTTCACATTTTTCTTATTGGTAACAATTTAAATTTATTATGTGAATTCATGCTGACTTAATCGACAACCATTCAAAATTCTTGTCTTTCTTGTATGAAAAGTATTGTACTTTGATTTAGTTTACCTTTCTTTTGAACAAAAAAATTTCTATTCTATTGTCTACATGAAAATGATAGAGTCAATAATTCAAACTGGAAGACTGTGGGTGTGGGTGTGGGTGTGAGAGAAGAAGATAATACACATGCACACTCACACCCTTTCAGGGAGTGCTTCAGATCTTTTATTATAAAATAGAACATACAATTATGAAAAATAGTCATGGTTCAATGCTGATTCCCCAAAGTAATCCAATTAGGTTCAGATTTTTTCGAGCCACACAGTTTGTAATTCAACACAATTTTTGACGTATTACAATGTGATTAATGCGTAATTATGAACTAATAAATCAATAATCATCGACTACATACTTTCTTTTATCTAATTTTACTTCATCTTACTTTTTTGGTAAGCTAAGAGAAAGTTCACTTTACTTTACTTTTTGGGTAAAGTAGACCTACTTTACTCTTTTATAGAAACGCATTTTACTAATTCAAAAATAGAATAAACAAATTCATGTTATGTTAATCTTAAAGTCAAAGATAACGCGTTTCACTAAACTTCTATCAATGTAGAGGAACTTTGGGCTCCTTAGCGGCACCACTTAATTCAAGAAAACTGGATAAGGTGTTTAAAAAAATTATATCTGTTTTGCTAGTATCTGAAGGAAACAACAAGGTCTAGAAACATGTTTCGTCCAAATAGTCTACAAGATAAAGTTTGCTAATCCAGAAGCAAAATAGAGACATAATTAAAATGAGTATCATTTGTGACAACGCGTTGTCGCTTAGCCAATTGAGCCATAAGTTTCGATTGTTAACTCATATTGCTGAAAAAATGAATGAAAAATAAATTTCCATAGTGGCACCCTGAATCATGGTGATATTTAATTGAATAACCAATATTGATCAATAGCGTTGGCATTGAAGTAAGCGACTTGCTTATTATTGGCTGTCTTCTTCTACTGTCGTAGCTATAGTTTCTTCACCTTCCTTCTTTTCTCCGTTCTTTTTTTACAATTCTTTCATTCTATCGTAGCCTTAACAATTTTCTTGCTCACTTTTTTTATCGTTATACAATTGCGATTAACATCCACGTGCGCATTATTAATGTATATTTTATATACTAATTACATTAGTCATATCCACAAATATTTAACGTCTTTGGTAAGTGAAAAGTCAATTAATTGTGATTAATATCGTTGCTCGCACTCTGTAGCATATGATGATCTTTCTTGATTCTATCTCGAGTATAGTAGTACATATGGAATAAGAAGTAATACGATATTGTCTAATAATTTCACGTTGCATTTGCCATCTTTTTTCTCCTTTTCTAACGCCATTTTCGTAATGTAGTGCACATTTCAGCAAGGATTTTCATCGGAATCTATAAAACAATCAGATGTGTCATCAGAATCATTCATGAAAAACATTGAGATGAGACTAAGAAAAACCGAATGAATGAATTTCTAGTAAATTCAGCCTGTGTATCATCTTTATAGCATTTAATTACTTCTTTTAAGTTCATTATCTGATGAAAATGTATTTGTTTGAGTTGAAAATTCTCAAAAATTCGATCGGTTCGTATCTATTATTGACTTGAATCTTTTATATTTTTCTAAGTTCATTAAGATTTATATTCACCAACACGAAAATCGTAACTTCCGAGATATTTGAAGCAATTTTTGTTATCTTATTTTTATTTTCGAAGCATTTTAATAGATCAACATTTAACTCTTTAATATATTGCATCTACGTAGTTTCTAGACTAAAAATGAAGTATAAGCTTAACAATGCTACGGATAACAATATGCTTTTCATTTTTTCAGAGTATTATTGAAAGATTAGTCAAGAATAAATATGTCGACAACACGTCAAATCATGCTACCAAAACGCTCCAGATAAGAAAGAGTTGATAAATAGGTTTCTCTTACTATTCTATCCTATCATCTCGATAAAGTGATCCAGTTTTGCTAAAAATAAATAATATCTTTCTCTTTGGCTATCACTGCAAGATCTATTTTTCGATATAAAGACATGTATTTGTTTTCGTAGTAAATTACCGTTATTCCAAGATATTTATGAGTTCTTCTTATATGGCATCAATTGAACTGATCATGCGGAGTCTACATCGCATTGTTGGCTGTTCTATTCACCAAACAAGTCTTCGATTTCGCATTGATGTGCCTGTATTTCGTATAAAATCTATAAATCGATTTCTAACTTGCTTCTCATTCAGTCTCTCCCTACCCTGCACATATTGCAAACATAAGTCATTAAAAGATGCATCCTATGATAATGATCAACAAGCTTCAATCAAGTCAACAGGTGATGACAGAGCAGCAAATGATTTAGCAACAACTTGCTTAGCAGGTAACGAAAATTCAACATTGAACGAATCTTCGAGTAGTCTTGTATGCTTGTGGTATTCTCGAAACTATCATCGAAGATGTTGGGAAAATATCAAAGATGATGAAAACAATAACAAATGTGATTATAGCAAGTATAGGTAAGTTCAGATAGGAAATGTTAGTATTATTTTTGTGTTTTGCTTCATATTTAGTAACATTGTTGTTCATCCGGAATGGCTACATCGCCTAGTTGATTCTCGTTTTCATTTTCGTGCCCCAATGTCAGATCATCTTGAGATGAACGATACATCGACAACACCTGTTATATTTTTCATTAATAAACTTTCCGGTGGTCAAAAAGGTCAACAAGTCTACCGTATGCTCGTTCGTCTACTCAATCCTCGCCAAGTATTTTTACTTGAAAGCGATACAACTATTATACAAGCTCTGAACATCTACTCGTCTTTGAACAACACACGTATTTGCATCTGTGGCGGTGATGGTACAGTTAGCTGGATATTGAGTCATCTCGTGGATGCATTTCCACCGTTGAAAAATCCACCAGCAAGCATTTGTCCGTTAGGTACTGGGAATGATTTGTCACGTGTTCTTGGCTGGGGATATCGCTATGAATTGAGACAACTGCTGAGAACACTGACGCAAATAACTCGAGCACATCCCGTACCACTTGATCGTTGGAAAATTCAAATTGAAACATTAGAAACGAATGCATCCAGTAAACAATATGTGAACAAACATCGACGTCTTTTCTCGTCTATGTTTCATCCGAAGTTCATTCGTGATGCCAACAAGCCATTGTACGAAAATTTTCGCACGCCGATTAGAAGATTCTTTTTCAATTACATAAGTTTTGGACTTGATGCAGCTGTTGTACTCGATTTTCACGTTCGTCGTACACGTGAGCCATCTAAATTTACATCGCCATTTAAAAATAAAATTCTTTATATAAATGAAGCTCGGAAGTATTTCAAGGAATTTGCATTTGGAATGGCATGGGATTTACGTGAATACATACGTTTAATCTGTGACGGACAAGACTTGACTGATTCCATGCGACATTGTCATTCTTTTGTTGTACTTAATACTCCAAGCTTTGGTTCAGGTACTCGACCATGGGGCAGAATATCAACGAAAAGAATCTCATCACAGTCAACTAATCAAAGATATGAGGATTCATTTGATCAGACCTCCACACATTCGTTTCAAACACATGATTCTCCTGTCAATGGTCAGGATGGTAATCAAACGACAGCTCTTGATATCGTCACCCACCCTGTTGTGGATCATTTCAAAACACAGGATTTTGGTGATCGAAAGATTGAAGTAATCGGTTTAAGTACAATACAGATGGCTTTAATTCATTTGGGTTTTCGAGGTAATCGCATTGCTCAATGCAGTCAAGTACGCATCGAACTTAACCATCCAATGCCGGTGCATATGGATGGTGAACCCTTCTGTCTCGCTGAATCGTTCGCTATCAATATTACACATGCTGGTCAAGTCATGGTGTTGAGAAATGAAAAGAGATAAATTTAGATTTGTTTTGTTGGCAAAGAAGTTGCAATTACATATATATATATATATATAGTGATAAACAAAATCAATAGCGACTTTTTGAAACTTATCATCAACATTTTGCTGCAGTCACCAATGTAGATTTTTTTATCATATATCTGATGTTGATAAGAAAACTCTCCTGAAGCGAGAAATCTCATATATCTGTTCTTCTTTTAGTATCAGACATTTTGTTGAAGTAAAGATGGATATTTATTATTTTAAATAGAAAAAGAAAGCATTTCACGAATTCATTGAGAACTATCTATAATCATATTACTTATCAACAGTAATATATACGTATGATTAAAACGAATATGCTCAAGTGACTGACTCTATTTTGTACGAAAGATTATATAGAACGGATCATTTCAGTAGGATGGGAATCAAACTAATCATCATTCATTATGCTCTGAAAAACAAGGTTTTTTACGAAACCAGAAAAGATCTTCTTCTCAATACACGGGAAGATTTCTTTTTTGATTTCGTAGAAAAGAAGTTTCGTATGAAACATTTTTCGGACAAGGGTGGGTGTGGGTGCTAGTGTGAGCATGAGTGTGCATCTTCTCTTAACCCATTTACATCCGTATCCATATCCACACCCCATCTTGACCGGTGAACAACGTGCTTAAATAAAATTTCTCTTGAAATACTAGTTAGTAAGTAATAGAAAAGCCTGGAATGCTTTGGTTTTTTGGACTTTTGTTCTTGAGAAATCAAAGTTTTACTGAGTTTTTCAATAAAATATTCTTTAGTAGATTGGTTCATTATACAAGTTTCAGCTATTCTAGTATCTCCTATCTTGAAATATTGAACATTCGAAATTCTCTCACATGCAAAAGAAAATTTTGTTCATATATTTATAGTTTGAAGTCGAAACTCGATTTTTCATGTGATCTTAAGGTGATTACAACCTTGTTGTTGAAAGATTCATTTCAAGAGCGGAAGTTCGAAAAATCAAACTATTCTAGATATTCCTATTAATCACTAGTACTCATCAAATAAACATCGCTTCAGTCGAAAAAAAATCACTTCGACACCTGGAGAGGTTCCCTCATAAGTGTCTATTTCTTTTAATTACATTAATATTGAAATTTACAATTAGATTATATCACATAATAAATAAAAAAATCTGTTTTTGTTTTCAAATACTTTTCATTTGAAATGTATTATTTGTTTACTCTCATCTGGATTAATTATAAAAAATTCAATTAATAAAAAAGAATTCAAATAAAAGATTATAAAATAATAATATATTTAGTTCATCATATAAGTTAGTATGAATGTTTTTCTTTTCGTCTAAATACATTTTATATTATTGTTCAATCAAATTAATTATTGCCCATCGATCGGAGTATATCCTGGTGTAGGTGCTATAATACAAAATAAACAATATAATAATGGCAAAAAAAAAAGAAAAATGATTTCTTACTCCATATACCAAATGCAGAATCACTAAGACGATCCTGTCGAACTTTATTTAACAATACAAGTATAATCGGTTTTAATATCAAATGAAATATAGCAAAACTAGAACATTCGAATATAATGTTAAATTTAAGATTTTTTTTTTTTTCTTCAAAAATTAACTTACAAAGCACTAATATCAAAATATGCAATATTCTTGCTAGAACTATAAGCTAAAAATAAATAACATGAATTTAATAAAATTGAAAAAAAAAAAGAACATATATACAATTTTTTCCAATTTGAAAATACATTCCAATACAAATTGAATCCAATATAATCGAAAACATTTCAATTAACATTAACTAAACATATAATCAAATATTAGAATATAGACAATAGAAATATATAACAAACAAGTTCAATATGAATAGCACTTTCACGATGTACTATAGCCCAAAAACCAAGTGCTAAAATAGTAAGTTGATTGAGAAGATATGACTTAGGTAGCCAATCAGCCATGAGTGCCCTAATCAAAGAAATTTATTTTCAAGTTTCAATTGAAAGATTTACATTGTTAATGATTAGGAAAAAGTTAAATATCTTAATAAAAATTTTATTAACTTACATGCTTACAAAAATAAAATGTATACAAATAATTATCTTAAATAATCAATAAAAAAAAAAAAAAATTTTCCTTCTCAAATTTATATATGTGATAATCTTACTCGAAGAAGTGTATCGCGATTGATCGGCATTTTTTTTTGTTTTATTTATTTGATATTATTGATCTACAAATACATATCATTGGATATTTTCACATACAATCATTATCAAAATTATTCGATCAAGTTTATGCTCAATCTTTTTCCACTATTGTAAATCCTATTAAAAATCCAAATAGTAATTTGAATAGAAAATTTTCTTGACAACAAGAATTTTTAAAGATGAAGATAATTGCTAGTTTTCCATCGCCTAGAATTTATATATACAGAATTCTGTTTGAATTACCTGGAATGATTCCCTACAAAATGAAATGTCTGTCAGCTCTCAACGCTGTTTTTTTTGATCGAGATACATTAATTTTACGAAAGATATAAAAGTCATTGTTTTCTATTATTTTATCATGTTTTTGTGTGCCTTCTATAAAGTCAATGTATCTCGATTAAAAAACATCATATAGAACTACCAAATATTTTATTTTATAAATTTCTTTGAGCTAAAAAACTTTGTAATCATCTTTATCTTCGAAAGTTTTTGTTGGAAATAAAATTCTCTACTCAAATCCCTATCTGGATTTTTCTTAGTATTTACAGCAATAAAAAAAAACAAACAAACATTGAAAATAAAGATGGTCGGATAATTTTGATAGCCATTGTATATTAATAATCAAATTACTGGTAAAAATCAATGTTATAATTTCAACTGATATAATAACTAAAAATGATTCATATATGAATCAAACAAAATATTTTCTTCTTATGGCATTAGTTTTATTCAAAACAAAAAACAAAAGTATTTTCGAAAAAGAATCTTATATAGGAAAAGAAATATTCTATCTCTACAGGCAAAATATAACATTTTTGTTACTCAGAACAAATGAAAGAAAAAGGAATTCTTGGAATATTTATGATATCATAATTTTTGAGAAAAAACATGCAATTCCATTTGTTACATATATGTGAAATAAATGTAATCAATCAACAATGATCAATTTATATTTTATTTTCTTCGTTCATATACTTTACAAGAAATGTTTCTTAATATTCGAATTCAAAAAATTTATATACCAATAGATCGATTGAAAAAGTAGAATCTTGCCGAAAATGGGTAATACTTTTACTTCTTCAGATAAAAACAAATGTTAAAATCAATATGATGTTTTGTTTTACTAAGAAAATTTGTATTTCTTTTAATTATCCGAAAATTCTCAGTTATTTCAAACGAAGAAAGATCTTTCGTAGAATACTCAATTCTATTCTTCAACAACAATGATATGAATATATTTATTGATGTCAGTGTAAGATCATCAACTTGATTGAAAGTCTATGGAATAACCTTGGACAAGGCACTAACGGCTATTTTTCTCGGATTACCTGTTCGATAGCATGTTGACTACGTTGTGACATACATTTGCTCTTGTAACTAGTTAGTGCGTATGAGAAGATCAAGCAATTAAACGCAAGAATTTTACATAAAATTGATCTTCTGTCCAATTGTAGAGAAGATATCAGGGTTATTGAATCTGCCGTTAGGCAATACAGATAGCTGAAAGACAGAGATATTCTTCTTCTTACCATTAGAATATGACAGTATCTCATTGATTGTTTTCTGTAGTCAAAAAAATAAAGTAAGAGAAATTATCCAAACCTCCGTTTCTTTCAACTTCAATGAAAATTCTTATTTAGATTCTATAAATTTTACAATTTATCTCGATGCCCTCAAACCAATCGAAAATTTAATGCTTATGGACTTCTATGATACTTTAAACTGAATACGATCCTAATAGAACAATAAGAACAAATTTTTAAAAAATTATCTATATCATCTACTCAAGTGTATTGAAAACGGCGATATCGATTGTGGTTGTTTATCACAAAATCATCTGATTTAGTCAAAACCGATCTCGACAAATGATTAATTATGTTTTAAATTTATTTTCTAATAAAAAGAATTCTTAATTTAAAAAAAAATAACATTGAATTCTTTAGACATTAACAAATATCTTTAATACTGATACGAAAAAAGTTATTTATAATTCTCTTAAGTTTAATTGTAACTGATTCAATAAAAATGTGTAATTTCATTTTAGTTTTAAGAACAGTCAATATTAATGAATAAATATATTCATATTAAGTTAGTTTCGAAAGCAAAAAGATTAGCAAAATTTCATAGAATCGTTTAATTACTCAATTTATTTTCTTTTTCTAACTAAAGAAATTGACAATCACTGGTACATTTGGTAACGTCTGGTTTAACTTGTTGTAAAAATGTTTCATATTTTAAACAAATTTAAATAATAAAATTTGTTTAAAATAATTAGAAATTTAATCTATCGACAATATTAAACCATTCATTACATATTAACTCATGAAACTCGTTCAAGAAAATACACAAGTAATTAAACAAAAGTTATAAGCATAAATAAAATAATCGCAATCAACTACTGTATAGTAACAATAGAAGAAATACATACAATATCAATTAAATCTGATGTAGTCATATTCGATTTCTTATATCTACAATTAAAATTAATATTTAGTTAAAATAAAATTTTTCAAAATCATCAAAACAATGCTTATGTACGGTACATATCAATAATCATAATAATAAATTAATCAATCAATATAGTTAAATTTTGAATAGGTAAATTGTTTAACCAATCAACTCATATGATGTCGCTTTATCGATTCTAATGAGTCATACCATAGATTGATCGTCAATGATGATGTAACAATCATCTTATTTAACAATGTTTCTGTGTCGATTGCTTGCTCGTCCTAAATCGTTAAATCATAATTTTTATCGATCGTTATCCATCAGATCTATAATTCAACCTCGACGTCTAGTAAAATTTACTGTTGGTACAACTTTGTTGACCGGTCTTGGTTTTATATCTTATACAGTCTATGAATCTGGTCCGGAATGGGAAAAAATTCGTCGAACAAGTTATTTTTGGTCTCGTATGCTTCCAGTTTATTTTCGTTATCGATATCAACAAATGTATTTTCAATTATTTCCAGCTAAAAATTCCGAAGAAGAAGATAAAGTTTGGTTTAATTTACATAATAAATATTGTGATTATGTATTAAATGTTATTCTTCATCAACGTGGTGTTTATATTAAATTAGGACAAATAGGATCGACTCGTCCAGATATTTTACCTAAACCTTATTTAAAAAAATTTTCTCGATTACAAGTAAAAAATAAAATTTATTCTTGTAGTTTTTGATTTTATTCATATAATTAGGATGGTGTACCTGCTCATTCGGGTGAATATGCTCGACAAATGATTGAACAAGCATTTGGTAAACCATTAGAAGAATTGTTTTCAGAATTTAATCCACAACCTGTTGGTGCAGCAACTATCGGACAAGCACATGAAGCTCGTTTAAAAGGATCAAATAAAGCAGTTATTGTTAAAATTCAATATCCAGAAGTAAAAAGACTTTTTGGATTGGATTTTTCAACATTAAAAAAATTTATTCGATTAGCACAACCAGAACATTTACCTTTATTTGATGAATTTGAAAAAGCTTTTCAAATTGAATTTGATTTTAGAAGAGAAGCAAAAGCATTAGATATTATTGGTATGATGAAGTTTTTTTTTTTGTCTTATTAATAATATGTAGATCTTTCACATGACGTCTATATCAAACATTAGAATCTTACATAAGTAATGTCCTAGATGAGAAAACTCGAAGTGACTAATAGGGAAAACAAGCTAAAAGTACGAACTCTTTTGATGATATTCATAACTCATGTGGGTTGAAATAATGCAAATAGACTCGACTCATAAACTATTTATTAGTTGGAAGACTTCCTGTGTAAGTCACAGTATTTACAAGATATTCGTAAATTATTGTAGTAATTATTTCGCAATGAGCCATGAAATTTTTTCCTTCCGACAGCCCATTGTTTTAAGATTTATGTGTGGACTGTTGCTTTACTTGAATAGGTCATATTGATTCGCAATAAAATCAATTCAGATTAGATCTCAGAAAAATTTGATGACTAATGTCTTTCATTATCAAACACTCTGTTAGACTTTCATCTTGTAGAATGGACTAATAATTGAATATTTGAAATATAATTTTCTAACAATGAATCATTCGTTTTCTCTGTTGTAATCGAAATTTTTGACATTACTAATACTAAAAGAATCGAGAATTCAAACTATTGTTGCCCATCACTATCAACACCATGCAGTATATAACAGAGAACGTCACAGGACGGTTTTTTTTGTCTAATCTTTCCATGCATTCTGCATGACAATCTTTTCATTGCATTTTTAACAAGGATAAAAACTTGTATGAGATATGATATCAAATATCATCTTTCCACCAATGTACCAGTCGCTGGTATGGCATGTACTCTTCTGGATAGCATTCATACTAATGAAAAATCATCATGAATTTCTCTATTAGACCAGAACTTCCTCGGAACACAATCAATTAGACGACTTGAGTGTTCTACAGGATCTACATCCTATGACGTTCTCTGGTATATAATAGGTCAAAAATTAAAATAAATTAAAGGAAAATCTTGTAAAATTGAATCTTCTACGAAACATTACTGGACAATAGTAAATGATTCATTTTTCTTTTTAGGTCATAATATAATGCCACGTTTTCCTCATATTGTTATTCCTCGTCCTATTCCTGGTATGTCAACAGAATTTGTCTTAGTTATGGAAAAATTAGATGGTACAAAATTAGTCGATGCACTTAAAATTGAACAAGCAAAAATGGCTGCTGAACAAGGTAAAACTTTAGAAGAATTTGAACAAGAAATGATGACTAAATATCTATCCGGTGAACTTTATCGTGAAGCTAAAAAAAAATATACACCATCAGCTTTTATTGTTAATACTTATGCATCAATAATACGTACAATAGATCATATAAAAAATGTATTTATTTTTATATATAATCATTCAATTGTACCTATATTAAAACGATATCCAATAGATTATATTGAACAACATGTTTTTATAAATCCACATGAAATAATTGATTTATTAAATGAAGTTCATGCA